GTTGGATTTGTGAAGATGCATGTCTCTTTTTAAAAAAAAAAATTGGGGCTTATTCCAGTTGATATAGTGATGATATTGCAAATTTCATACCGGTAGGAAGGGGTTGTTTTTGTGCTATCTGGGTTTGTTAACCCAGAGAGGAGTATGTTGCGGTCACAAGCACTGGAAATGGGAGCTGAGTATCAACCTGACTGGAGTTCAGATTGCACACTGTTGGTTTGTGCTTTTCCAAATACTCCGAAGTACCGGCAAGTTCAAACTGATTGTGGAACAATTGTTTCAAAGGTGCCTATTTTGTTGGATATATTGTTGCTCTTATATGGAATTGATTTCAAATGATAAATATCCATTTTATTAAAATTATTTGAGATTGTTCATATAGCAGGATAGAAAGTATTGTGTGGACAGTATTGGTATTCTTTTAAAATAAAATATGGACAATATTGTTAGTTGTTGTTTTTTCTTTAATCCACCTTTTCTGTCCCACTGGTTTCCCAATTGGTAATGAAGTCTGCTCATTTTAGAATTTTTTTCCTCTGATAGGATGCTAATGTTAGGTTCTGATTGTGGTCAGTTAGCTAGTTTGCTTCTTTCATTGATTGCTTTTCCTCTATTTCTATGGATCTTGTCTTAGCCTTTTTAATAGGATTTGAAAAAATTCCACAATTTAAAATGATGAATTGTTCTAAAAAATAGTGAGCCCTTTTGGTCTTCCTGATGACCTGTTTGTGGATAATTCATTCTGTTGATCTTTCCGCTGTTTTTTCCTGAAGTTAAAGGCAATTGTCCATTGTATATTCTGTTCAGCAAGGATTAATTGCTTCCAATGCAATCTGTTGATTCCCTTCCAATTGTTTGAATTGTTGGCGCAATGATTTACTTCACATGCAATCTCCTGGCTCAAGTCCAGTGCCTTTTTCCTTTACCTATACATTCCATGACTCCAAATGTATTCATTGTGAGAAGCTATTTTGCTCTTCCAATATCCATAGGTTGATTGTTTCACTTGTGTATACTGGATCAACTTGAGGTTATTTTTTAATCTGTCCTTGTTATAGTTTGGTTATTTGAAAAAGATGAAATTTTATATCTTCTAGTACACACTATGAAACAATGATCCAAAAAGGTTTTATCATAACAAAATACTGTAGCCTCTTCTTACTCATTGAGGATTCTTTTGTATAACCTCTTGCTTTTCTCTAATATGGTGCCATCTAAAGCTGTGTGTGACTCACTTTTTTCAACTATATCATGAGGTTTTGCCTCTTGGTTAACTGGGAGAATGATCAACGGGATAGTGCATTTTTCTACCTTTAGCGTGTGGTGCATCTCCAGTTTCCTGCTGATGTCTCTTAAAACAATTTTTGGAGGCCCCTCAGGATGTGGGGCTGAGTTGGATGGGTTGGTGGAAAGGGTGGATGAATTCATTGCAAGGATTGGATTTGAATTCTAAGAATCAGGACCATCAATTTTGTAACTCTGGAGGTTTCTTGACTCTCTGTAAGTGTCATACCATAATGGAGAGTTGCTGATCATATTCCTGTCTGTTTTCTATTTACAAGAGTTTTCTTTGTTTAAGGGAACCTCGTTCTTTATGTTATGCCCTGCTAGATCTTTGCACTTATCAGAAATAAGTAAATAAATCATGTACCATATTCATGGATATGTTTAGCACTCACTGGCTAGCTTCATTGTTTCCTTAACTCCATGTTCCCCTAGTGCTAATAAGACTTGCTGTGGGAGGCCTGCCTGTAATAAAATATTGTTCTAGTATTGATATGGGGACAGTTTTAGTATTATCTTTCTCTATCTTGTTTACTGTCATCTTATGATTGCTGCATCATCCCTCTATATAACTTGATGGTGTTTATTTTCCTTCCCTCAGGAATGGATATCAGAATGTTATACCCAAAAGAAGCTTGTTGATATTGAACAATACCTAATGCATGCTGGAAAACCATGGCGGAAAAGCATTATTTCCAATTATACTGGGGAAGGTAATATCATTTGTGTTCTTATTGTTTATATTTTATGTTACATGGTAGAGACAAATTTACCTTCTTTCATTTTTATTTACATGTATGAAGATTGCAATTTTGTTACATTTGCACTGTGTATAGAAGTGAGATGAATGATGAAAGCTTGCTTTCTCTATCTTGTGCTAAATGTTTTTTCACTTTTTCCTCTGCTGACAGGAGCTTTTGAGGGGAAGATGGGTGGGGGTTAGCATTGTTTATTATTTTATTTTGCCGGTCTCCTTGTCTTATACTTGGTCTACTTTTCACTTTCTTCTGTTTTTATGCATTCAATTTATCACCATATGTTCAATACATCTTACAAGAATTTCTGAAATTAAGTAACAAAATAAAGTTTGGAAGGAGCTGAGGAGGCTCTGTTTATTTATTGTTCAAAATTTAATTTCTTTATTAACTTTTTCCTCAAAAAAAAAAATTATTAACTTTTGAAAGTTTACTCGCACTTTCAATTGTATGTAAATATTCATTAAAAATTCAGCAACGTGCTTCTCTGAAAGCTATGTTCAAAAAGGTCTTCGTTGTCAAATCATTCTATCTTCACGTCAGCAAACCTTCCGTTGCTCCTTCGCTTTTTCCTTGCAAACAGATTTGGAGGAAAATGCTTCTCTAGAATAGCTTTGTTGTTGCTTGGAAAGCCACCTGTGGGCAAAGCTTCACTATTGATTATCACATTAATCTAGGCACTCATAATCGTCTTTTGTAAGATACACTGTCTCATATTGTTTGCAGTTTATGATTTTGAATCTTCTCAGAGTGCAATTGTCATGGCTGGGTCAGTGGCAGTAAGATGTGGGCATGACAAGAAATCTTGGATGATAGAGGAAGAAAAATATCTTACTTATCTTATCTCTCTGACTACTTTGTGGGTTGATTTGGAATGAAAACAAAAGTAAAAGAGCTTTTAAGCATGTTTGTTATTTTTCTGATAGAGTTGGGGATGTATGGTTTTCCAGACTGTTTGATTTTGTTGAAGGACCATCCACTCAGTTCAAAGTGGAAGATACATTGACATTTTGAATAACTTGTAAATTCTGTCTCTTTTTTCCTCATGTATTTGATTGAATGCCTTTGGTGCTCTTTAGTGATTTTTTTTTTTTCTTCTTCTAAAGAAATGTGTTCCTTTGAATTACCTTTTCTTTTCTTCTTCATTATACTTTTAGTAGTCTCAAGTCAATATTGACATAAATACTTTACTACTTTGACTGTTTAAGGAGTCTATGTTCTGAATTCATGTGGAGCTTGCAGATAAAAAAGGATCCCCTCCTGAAACATCTCAGAAGCAAGTTAATAAAGAAACAGAAGCAAAGTCAACAGTTGTATCCTTGAAGGTAATCTTTATTTATAATTTTCTTTGCACGAACAAACTGATATAACTCTTTTCTTCATGACATTGTGTATTCTTAAGTTTCTTCCTATATAGTTCGTAACTATTTTAATCTTCATTTTTCTCTTCTGCCTTCTCTTTAGCAGAGCAGAGCTTCCAATCTTGTTAAAGATTGGTTTTCCGTTCCTGAGATGAAGAAATGGGCTATAGAGGATCTGAATAAAACTATCTCATGGCTTGAAAGTCAAGAGGAGAAGGTAACTGGCATTTGTTCGCTTTGTCATTTCACAAAGCGTGTTCCAATGCTTTGATTAT